GGGCAGGGGGAGCTGGGCCGGGGCCGAGCCTCCCCTGCAGCCTGTGGGGAGACGCCAGGCAACCCCGCTGCAGCCCATGGAGATGAATGGTGGAGCACAGACCCACCCGCAGCCCGTGGAGAACCCCACACTGGAGCAGGTGGCTGCATGTGAAGACGACAATTACTCTGTGGAAAGCCCACGCTGAAGCAGTCTGCTGGTGAAAGGCTGCACCCTGTGGGAGGGACTCACAGTGGAGCAGTTTGTGAGGAGCTGCAGCCTGTGGGAAGGACTCACACTGGAGAAATTTGTGGAGAATTGTCCCCCATGGGAAGGGACCCATGCTGAAGCAGGGGAAGAGTGTGAGGAGTCCTCCCACTGAAGAGGAAGGATGTGACAAACTGACCTGTAATCCCGTCCCCTGCGCCACTGAGGGGGTGGATGTAGAGAAACCGGGAGTAAAGTTGAGCCCGGGAAGAAGAGAGGGATGGGCGGAAGGTTTTTTTTTTACGATTCGGTTTTATTTCTCATTGCTCTACTCTGATGTGATTGGTAACAAATAAAATTGATTTTTTCCCCAAGTCAAGTCTGTTTTTCCATGACCATAATTGGTGGGTGATCCCTCCCTGTCCTTGCCTCGACTCACAAACCTTTTGTTATATTTTCTCCACCCCATCCCACCGGGCAGGGAGTGAGCAAGCAGCCACATGGTGCTTAGTTACCAGTTGGGCCTAAACCACGGAAAGGACGAAGCAGGGACTGAACTAACTCAGCTGCCAGCAAACAGCTTGATGAACCAGAGTTAACTGGTAAAGTCAAGCAAGTTTAGCAGAGATCTGACCAAGATGGTGAAGAGCCTGGAGCATATGACATGAGAGAAGAGGCATAAAGGAGCTTGATTTGTTCAGCCTGGAGAAAAGAAGGCTCAAGTAGGGTGTTCTACTAATTTTCTTCAACTGACAGATGGTTATGGAGAAGACTGAATTACGCTGTTCTCAGAGACGCTCAGTGAAGGACAAGAGGCAACAGATACACAGTATCACAGAGGAGAATGATTAGATACAGAGAAAATCTTCCTCAATGAGGGTGATCATATACAGGACAAAGCTGCCCAGAGATATGGTGTAATCTCCATCCCCGGACATCTTCCAAACTTGAAGGGATGAAGCCCCGAGTAACTTAAGAGTAACTTAACTTTGAAGCTAGCACTGATCTGAACAGAGGGTTGGTTTTGTTGACTTCTAAGAGGTCTCTCTCAACTCAAATTATTGCTTACATCCTCTCCCACATGAGTAGCTGCTGCCTTCTCTCTCAGTAAGAGAACCAAATCCACACACGCGAAACCATGAACAGCCATCATTTCTATTAATTTCTAATTTACACTATAGGTAAGTTTATGGAATCATTATGCTAGAATAAATCAATTGCCAACAGCTAACGTCTCCTCCCAGATGCTAATGTGCAAAAATATTGGTTTTAGATATCAGGTTAAATGTGATATAGTTACGAAGTATGGAGTCACCTGACTGAATTGTAAATAGCCAGTGGGGTTTGGTCCTTTTCTTTGGCCACTCTCATCATATCCAGAACAGCCATTCCAAGGCATTCTTCTTGTGTTTCGTGAGTAACAGGCATCTGTATCCATCCATTCAAAAAATCATCTCGCCACTAAGAAAAAAGAATGCAAGAAAGCAAATTAAAACTGTATAACTGCTGCTCATCATTAGTTTTTTGGGGTGTGGTTGTTTTTTTTGTTTGGTTGTTTTTTTGGTGGTTTGTTGTGTGTGGTTGTTTTTTTTGTTTGGTTGTTTTTTGCTGATTTTTTGTGGTTTTGTTTTGTTGTTTTTTTAGAAAAGCTGCATTCTTCTGAATGAAAGCTGCACGTATTTGTAATGGATACCAGCTACAATCATGCTTACAAACACTGCTTTCAAAATACTTTCGTTTCAAATCTTGAAGAGGTCCATATGGGGAAGATGTTCTTCTACATTGTGTCTGTCCAAAATGAAAGTCACATGGAAAGACTTCCACATGGTAGCAGCACAAGAAAGAGACTACACTCTCACTGCTTTCCCCACAACTGCCATTTCAGCTTCATCTCTAAGTACATAACATGACATGGAATTTAATTTTCTTTTTGAGTGGGCTTCAAGCTGTCAAAAGAGCTTACACAGTTACTATCCAAAGACACGAGAGGGAATAAATACTAACAATCTTTACCAACCTGCATTAAAAAATAATCAAGCAAATCATACCTGTGCAAACAGGTAAGACATCACAAGATCATCAAGAACAGGGCTTTCTGCACCTCGAAGAATGCCATACCGATATGCTCTGCTGGTGCCATTGCAATACCAGTGCGGAAAATAGAACCTGTTTGGAAACATTTAATCAAACATCAACAAACATACTTTCACTTACCAACACCAGACATTATTGGTTTGATAGACGTGTAACTACTGCTGGCTGGTTTGGAGGACCAATATGAAGCCCCAGTTAGTCAATGGAACACTTTGGATCCAGTTCTTGGTGTCTACAAGTGTTGCAATATTTAAGCAGAGTGATAAGCTGCACTGGTAGGAATGAAGAGCTCTGCCAAGCTATCCTCACTAATCAGAATACAGAGGATTTTGTGTTACTGTCTTCTAGTTTCCTTTGAGACAGTTCCTAAAGAAACACTTGGGCCACATTACGCAATTTAAATAAACAAAATCTTTTACATAAGAAAAACTGTGGCTGTAGCTTTAGATATCCACATGCAAAATCCAGGTTAGAGAAAAATGGTTCTATTGAAGACATCTGCCTGACTCCACAGGATAATCGCTCTGCATTTCACAAGTGCCACTAATTTCAAACAGGCAAACACAGAGGAGATGAGATGTATCATTATTAAGAAAAATACTGCTTTTATTTCTGCTCTATTTTTTATTGTTTTCTTCTTCAATCTGACATGGCAAACATATAGTAGACAGACAATTCATAAAATACGTTATTCCTACCTACTCCAATAAGAGGTAGATACAAGAATCAAAATTATGTAGAGAGCACCAACAATCTGTCCATAACTTTTCATAGAAACCACAGTTCAACTAAATATCTTATTGGTTGTGTTTTCTCGCATAGTTTTGTTTTACTATGAAAAGGGCATAACATTTGGTTCAGACTACCTTATCCGGTAGATTAGGACAAGTCTGGTTGCTTCATCTACATGGAAGATGTGATTTGGGGGATACCACATTCTCTCTGTTTCACTCATGAGTGCAAACATGTTATGATACACTGGCATGATACCTAAACAAAGAACAGAGAAGCAAACATAGGAAGTTGTTTTCACAAATAATCAACCTTATTAAAATATTTATATATAGTGAGTTAAAAGTAGCAGACTGGCACGTTTTCCAAATATTCATTGAACTGCTCTATCACTGTCAACAGCATTACGATCATCATCCCATAACATGCAAACTGCTTTTGCTGGTTTATTTTCTCATTCTTCTTTTATGTTCTCTGACTGCAGACTGTGTTCACCTTTTATCCTATACTTCACTGTTAGACTACAGTATTTCCTCTGTATGGCATTTAATACAATGGTTTCTTAGCCTCTCAGTAACTGCTAACAACAGTACATTACCTTCTTCCTTACCTTTTTCAAAAACAGATCTAGGCGTTGATTTTAAGGTTTTAGACCAATTAAAAAACTAGAAGTAAAGCAATACAAAGAAAGTCATCGTGACTAGGATAACCACCTGCCATTTACATTTTAGTAGCCAAGTCGAAAACAAAACCAGATATTGCCAGTTAAACAAAACTGGAAAATATTTCTTTTCCTCAACAATTCAGGATTGTTTCAATGAGAATTAATCACAAACTATGGAAATCAGTTGAGCATCAGCTTCTCAGTAGCACCAGAATTTTAATCTGGCTTTGTGGCTCCCAGCTGAAAGTACAGAGATGCTGCAGCATTGTGCCATGCTGCAGTGCTCTGCATCAATGCAATGCAACTACCACAACCTGGAAAACAGGTTAAATGCCTCAGAATTGACAGCACAAGAGGATGAACTTCAATCACTGACAAACATATTTTGAAGACAGGAAGAGATACAGGTCTAGAGGTCAGAGAGCAGGATGAAAATTACAGTGTGAAAGTCACAGTAGGTCATAATGAAAGAAAACTGCTGTTTTTCATTAAAGCAAGACATTTTGTGGGAGGAAGGCAAAAAATATGGAAAAAAAAACAAAGACAATAAAAGTAACTTAAAATGATGTTAAGAGACAAAAGAATTCTGGGAAAAGGCAAAGTACTCACAACTCTCCCCAAAGACTTAGAATGAAATCATACAAATTCACACAAGAAGCCATGAGGGGGAAAAAGTCCCTTCTTTCTTTCTATTCTGAACAACAGCTAGGTAACTCCTGAAAGGGGCAGACCCAAATTGCTTTCATCACATTAAAAGTGCATGCAAGACAACCAGTCAGAAACAACTAAACAGCTCCACAAATAAAATTGCATAAGCTTGTGGAACAAAAAAGTAATTCAGTCTTAAATAACAACTAGCTTAAATTTGTTACGAAATGGAGTTTGTCTTTGTAGGGAGCCAGTCAAGAGGGCTAAGAACAAGAGGTCTATTGTCCAGATTTCAGATTAAACTGCTGAAATCTACAGGCTAATCATGTGACACTTGTTTAAACTGAAGCTTACCAGAATATACCACAAGTACAGATCCTAACACATGATTTCCTACAAAAAGGAGTCATAGACTTACAGGCAACTACAGAAATTGAAAGAATTACGCAAAGTAACCAAAGAGAAACCAAAACTAAACAAGACTCCCAAAGGAACAACCCTGAAGAGATTAGTAACTGAAGGATCAGCTGTAAATCTAGATATTGCAAATTTATGGTTCAGTAAGACATAATAGATCCGAGAGTTGAGAAATATCAAATTAACTCAATTTCATGGAGTTAAAAAGAAATCCATCACATGCAACCAAACATGGTTCTCATTTGATGAGGGAAGTGGGGTCAACTAGATTACACTACAGATCAGTTGTCTGTAAAGCAGTAACAACTGACTTGGCAGTTTCGAGGCTGTGTGGTGTCTGCATCCCAGATAATCTCACACCAGCCACAGCGTAATGCATGTGAATCACCTACCTATTTCGGGATTCTAGCCAGATGTGAAACACCATTGTGGGAAAATAACCAATACTGCTTCACAAAGTTCAGCTCAAAAGCTGCAATATCAAAGGTAGCTCTGAGGCGAGGCACGGCTCTTGCTCCCAGGAACAAAATGCAGTTGGCACGGACAAGGCCTGCCCTGGCCGAACAGAACATGCAACGTCATTGAAATGGGGAGTAAAGTGGTACGAAGGTACCACGGCTCGTCCCTGTTCCCAGGGATAGAGAATGGCTGGCAAAGGAACCGCACAACCATCAAGGAAGATGGATCGCGGTCCTCGCCTCAACAATGGTGAGCCTAGCCAAGCATTCACCTAGGCCATTTGGGCATGTCGGTATTCAACAAGTAGCCAAATAGCTGGCCTTTGGGGTGAACTTTGCTCATTATAATATCATTATAATACCAAAACACACCTCCATCCCAAAAGCTACCCATCCTGGCAAAGATACGCTTGACTACAGTCACTCTAGCCTCATCTAAAAGTATAAAAATGGCTAAAGAGAAGGGGATGCTGGGCGAAGCCCTCCATCGGAACGTCTGGGATTAGTCAACGGGCTGGACCTCTCTTCGCCCCCACAACTGGGACACCTATTGGGTGAGAGCTCTGTGTTGTTTGCATTTGCTTACTAGCATCTTGCTAGCTATTTAGTATTATCACTGATCAGTTCTGGTATTATATTATTCTAATTAAATCTGTTTTCGTAGTCAGTCTCTATCACCAGCTGTCTTCGAATGTGTATCCTGTCACAAGCATATGTAATAAAATTTATATAAATATAAGTTTCTGGAAACTTCATAATTGATACAGAGAACATAAGGGACTTAGCCCATTGTGCTGCCCCGTTAGGTCTCCGAACAGGCCGGGCGAACACCCTCCGACTTAGCGGGCTGCCAAGGTCGGGTACAAGGGTCTCGTCTTTCTTGGGAAACCGGTAGACTGGTCAAATAGCTCCCTGACCTCTGTTGACCTGACCTTGTGTCATAACGTGACAAACATTCAAGGCAATGCTGAATATTCACTTTGTCTCACTCATACATTTCCCCAAACTATTAACAATCCCATGTAAACACACCGAACAAGAAATAATTTCCAAGTCATATTCTAAAATTCAAATGTTAAGCTGCTGTATTTCACCAAATACATTACAGACACTGTCAATCCCCCGCCTCTCAAAAAACAAAACAAAAACAAAAAATCCCACACATTTCAATTCAGATCACATCATTGCTGTTCTGAAAAGAAACTAAGCAAGGAACAGGACTTTGGATTTCCCTCTATAATTCAGAAATGTTGGCATTAACAAAAAAAAAAAAATCCAAAAAATCCTCTTTGCTGTCTTCTTGTGTATGAAAGTAACCTGTGCACTCATTCATCCCTCATACTTTAGCATTTGTAATTCTGCATGATGACTTGTACCTTTCACTGCCAGTGCTCAATGACACAGAGATTTCATACATGTTTCTCAAGAAAAAGTGTTATACATTTTTTCTTTTACTTTTTTTCTCCCCCTTAAGAATTATGTATATGTGCTAGAATATTGCTACACTTCAAAAAGTTCAATGATTATCCAAATAGAGCAAATCCCCTCATTAGAGTCTTGAAAATTATCCACAGAAGTCTGATGAAAGCAGAGAGGCCAGAAATGTCTCTTTTCATGTAATTCTTACCAGCACTATTAATTGCGGGGACTTTTCAAGTGAATTATAACTGCAGTATTTAAGTGTTTTCTCTGGAAATAATGAAAACCAAAAGACTGGGGGTGGAGCTGAAGGTGTATGGGCTGGGGAATCAAAGTCTTCTGATGAAGCCTAGACATATCAACAACAGTGAAAAGTTCTGAGAAATGTATTTTCAATACAAGCAAAATCAGAAAAGCTGCTCAGCAACAGGTACTAAAAAACCTCCCCTGGATTTCTGCATTGCATTAATCATGTTATCAAATCAATCAATGATTAATTAGGAGAGGAGACAGGGACTCAGATATGATAAAGGAGAATTGCTCTCCACTTTGCTTCTCCAGCAAGGGCTACTAAATAAATTTGCTGGACTATTGCAAAAACAAAAACATGACTATCTCTTGGCAAGTATTTTATTTAGTACGTAGGACTAAATAAAGGAGCCTTATGATGCTATACAGACTGTCAAGTAATATAATGAAAGGCTGTAATACAGCAGAAGTTTATTCCTCAAACTTCTACATCAAGCCTAAAAAAAAGAACAATTTGCACAGTATTTTCTTCTTTTCCTCATTATGATTTTAGACCTCCACATCCAGACAAGTCACACTACTTCATTTACCCTGAAGCAGCTAAGGAAATAAGAGTTTTTCTTTATTTCCTCCTTTGTTGGCATTAAGTACCCTTTCACCCATATCATATGTCTTCAAGAAGTAATGACCCTCCATAAAGAAAAGATAAAAACTAGAAACTGAATCACAAAAAGCCAAGACGCCACTATGTAATGTGGAAGCCACATGTACTCTGCAGTAGAAATACTGTCTTATGTCAATTCAAGCATATTAATAAGTTGCTAAACATATACCTATGAAAGCAATCAGTTGCATGGAGTTACCAATTAAAAAAATTTGTAAATCTCTGATTTTCAAAGTCCAACATAAACATTAGTCAGTTCTCACACACAACTGTCAAGTAAACTGTCTAAAACTTAAAGTCTTGCACATATCAGATGGAAAACTGCTTGGCTTCTCTTACATAAAAATAGTGGCTTACTCTCATCTTTCACACAAACTACAGGCTTACTAAACTCTGACATCACATTCAGTGACGCCATCCTGTCAGCACAATGTTTTCTGACTAGTTAATCAAAGCACATGTTTCCTCTCCTGGCAAAACAGAATGTACGTATTTCTGACTAATCCATTCCTCACCTTGTGGACAGGAGGTGGGAGGGTGCTGAGTGTAGATTTTCAGGAAAGGCTTTCACTCAAGAAAAAAACCCCCACAAAACAGCAAAAAACCCACCCACCCCCCCCGAAACCTGAAACTCCCCCCAAAACCCACAATGGGCAATTACAATCAATGCTAAGTGAGCCATGTGAATTCTGGAAATTCAGTATGTTAAGGATAAATCTGCTTAAAATTCTCTAGTCAC